TACATTGTTAGCCTCAAGCTTTGGTTCTTGGGAGTGGCCTGTGCCCAACTTTTTGCCCGACCCCTTCTACCCAAGCGCCATGAAGACCCTGGGGCAGAGGTCTCCCAAATGTGAAGCCCAGTTTGCCCTCCACCCACCCTAATACTTCTCTTGGCTAACAAGACTGCAGGGAGAAGAGCCTGAAAACCCACGGGAAGTCCACATCAAGGACCAGGCCAGGCTGGGTGATGGTCCCAGGGGTCCCCAGACCTCTTGTCCTCTCTGGCTTGAGGAGGCATTAGTGAGGTGTGGCCTTCTGACCTCCCGTTTAAGAGTGCCTTGCTTACCTTGGTAAATAGGAACAATCAGGAACCCGTTCCCACCACCATTGTTCCCGGGGGCGCTTAGGGCACTCCCCCATCCCATGTATTTAGTGATTGCTATTACAGGGACTGGCCCCAGCTGCCAGCTTTCTTCTCTCATCCCACCCAAGCCTCTGCCCCTCTGCTAGGGGAGCTGTGCTCTCTGAGGCTCCAGCAGGCCAATCTGATAAACCTGTTTGGGTTAGTAGGTGTGCATGGTGTGAAAAATTGGGGTCAGATCCAGTTCTGTTCTGTCTGTCTGACCTTGGGCAAATCACCCAGTTTTATAGGTGAGCCACCATCTGTAAGACGTCACGGAATCGCTTCAAGGAGCCCGTGAACTCATTTCTATGAAGGCACTTTGTAAATCATAAAGTACCACAGAGAAATGAGTAATGACTCTATTACCTCTCCCAGATGTTTACACATGTCCACAAAGGCCTCCTGGGGATAGTAAAGGCTCATCACAGTGTTTCTCTAACAGCTGACCACCTGCATCCATTTTAACAAGTGATTCTGATGCACGCTAAAATGTGAGCAGCTCTGCTGAGAAGTTGACCATACGGGTGGAATTTGGGGCACTGTGACGGAATGGGGTTGGGAAGGGTTGTTTGGAATGGTGGACTTTTACTTGGCCCCTGAGACATGGCTACTGAAAAGGCATCCACTTTGGCTGAGTGCAGGGTCAGCCCAAAGTCTCAGGGAATCTGAATTCTCATCACCATCCCCCAAGAGCAAGAAGGGGCCCAAAGTGTCCCTAGTGATGGTGTCTAGAGCCCCTCAATGCAGGACACAGGCAGGCTTGGAGGTGTGAGTTATCCCAGGAAAACACTCCCAGTCTGGAAAACATTAGTTTTACTAATGCATCATTTTTGGTTATTTGGAAGTTAGTGAGGAAGGTATATGGGTGTGGGGATCTCACCCCCAGCAACAGAGACACAGACATAGGGTGGGAGGTGCCTTCTCCAGATGATCCCCTCCCAACCTGGAGCAGCAGTTGGGGCTCTTGGGGCTTGGGACTGAGGCCCAGGATTGGGCAAGAGGGGAAGGAGGAAAAGGTCTGGGGAGTGACTACCTCCCTCCCTGGCTCCCTGGCAGAGCTGAGGCTGGTGCTTGGAAACAGGGTCAGAAAGCAAGCTTGCCCATCTGAAAAGGTGTGTCCCCACCAACCCCCCAACTTGACCATGGCCCACAAGCCTGGCTCCCACCACAACCCTCTGGCCTACACAGGGCTCAAGCGCAGCAGCAGCCTATTCTCGCGGTGCTGGAGAACAGAATAAAGGGGCCTGCCCTGCAAGCTCCTTCCCTCTCCAAGGCCTTGACTCTCCCAGTCTCCTCCCACCTAAGGAGTTGGGTCCCCTGAGGGACTCATGGGACTTTCCCAATGACTGAAGCACTCCTGCCTCTACCCTGTGCTCACACAGTCCCCTCCACCTTGCCAAACTCTTCTCATCTTTCAACCTCAATCCAGGTTCATCTCCAGGAAACCTTCCCCAACACAGGCAGCTTGCATGGCCCTCCTTCTTGGACTCCTCCAGCACCCACCCAGCACTTCATCAGTCTCTTGATCCTGAGAGGTACTGGTGAACTGAAGAGGCCTCAAGATATCTCGTTTAGTTGCCTCAGGTTTATAGATGAGGCAATGTCTGCTCTTTTCACGAATAGTAACAATAATAATAGCTAAAACAGCGATCACTCACTATGTGCTAGGCAACTGACATGTATGAAGTCACTCAACTCTCACAAATAAGTGTTTTTTGTAGCAAGGCACAGAGGTACGGTAACTTGACCTAAGACTGCCCAGCAGGGCCAGGATTTGAACCCTGGGAGTCTGGTTCCCGAGTCTTAGCCTTATCTCTTGCCTTCATGCTGTTCATTACTGACTGGCTTGCCGTGGTTTCATCTATGTACGTATTATCTTCTTCAATGCAACTTTTGTTGCATCCTTCCCTAATAACACCTCCCACCCTCTCACCCCTCCAATGGCTGAGCACATGGCAGAAGCTGTTCCAAGAGGAGTTGCTGACAGAGTATAGGCGAACACCTCTCCTGACACCAGGTGGCAGCATTGGCCAGAAAGTCCCCCTCTGGGCTAGCGCTGTCAATCAAGTAAAAACTTAAACTTTTATTTCTGGTACAAATGATAAATACTTCGCATTAAAAATCTGGAATTCAAGTTTTCCTCATACTTCATACTCCCTCCCCACCCCAGAATCCTACAAAAATATTTCTGTTTAGAGGGCGAAAGAGCCGGCGCGGGCGCTGGCTCTGGTGGCAAAGTCCAGGTCTGGGGAAAGGCACATGTGGTCTGTGTCAGTGGTAGGCAGTCTCCACTCCACCCCACCCTACAGCGGCCTCAGAGGCCAGAAATGAGGAGAATGCTTTGAATCGGATATAGAGGCTGTGACATCTGCCTCCAATAGCTCCTTCTCTGGGGGTAATGATCCCCCCTCACTGTTGGGGAGTAGGAAGGTAAGAGGGGCTCCCTCCTTCCAGAAGGGTGAGTAGGGGGCAGGGGAGTTATGTGTGGGGAGGTGTGTGTAACAGGCATAGACTCCTTTTAGGGTCTAAGCCATTAAAGAGTTAAATAACAGCATAGGCCTTCACAGTTTAACACTTCAGGGGAGATGAAGAGGAGGGTGCACGTTTGGGGAACCCCTTTCTCCCTCTCTGCCCCCAAAGAAGCCACAGGGGTGGGAATGGGACAACCTTCATGAGTTAACCCTTGCCATGCCACACCCCTTTTCACAGTCATGAGTGACAGGGCCAGAGGCTCCAGGATTACGGGTGAAAAGAGGATGATGGGAAGGGAAATTAGGCCTCAGTTGGGGGTTGCCATTCCTTCTAGTGTCTGGGGGAGAAACAGTGGGCTCCGAGTAGCCACCTAGGGGCCCACCCCATCTCCTTGGCCTGGCTAGAGGTCCTCATCCCAGAGACACAGCTCCCTCTGGGGCACGTAGAAGTCGAAGCTGTAGCTCTTCTGGCAGCTGCGGATGCCGCATTTGTAGGGCGTGGGCCGGTCACGGCTGTGGCAGTACTTGAGCATGCAGGGATACCAGGCCAGGCTTAGGTCATAGCGGCAGGCACAGGGCTTTCCACGGTCCCCCACCTGCCCACAGCGTGGCAGCTCCACCTGCTCTGAAGCCTTGGTCAGAGCCTCGAACACAGAGCTGTCCACACCTGGGGAGAGAGGCAGAGTCAGAGGGAGGCTTCCCCTAGACCCATATCAGCCATTCCCTGCATGGCGTCTTCAGCCATCCAATGGACACCTACAGACACCTCCATCCTCCCAGGCTACGTGGGGTGGCACAGGTAAGTAAGACCTGGACACTATGCTCCAGGCTACGCTAGTAGGGAAACAGATGACTAAATATCACCTTCATTTATTGAGTCCCTTCTGTGTGCCAGAAGGGCGTACGGTACCTCTTCCCATCACCCCTATGAGCTAAGTCTTACAGCCCAGAGATTAAACAATCTGCCTGAGGTCACACAGTAAGTAGTGGAGTCCAGACTGGAACCCAGGTCTATCTGGCTTCAAGGCCTCCACTCTGCCAGGCCCTATATTTAAAACAATCCCTATGCTGGCATGTGCTGAAATAGAGGCCTGACAAAGCTGGAGGTGGGGACAGCGAGTAGGAATCAAAGAAGGCTTCTTAAAGGCAATGATATGTGGGTAGGGCCAGGCAGGGAAGGGCCAGCAGGAACACAGCATGCTCAGAGCGGGTGGTCAGGGAGGCCCGGGCTGGGGGTAGGCTGGAGAGTATGTGTGTGAGGAGGAATGAGGAGATGGCAAGGGCCTGGCTCTGGCTTGGCTCCATGGCCATAGGAGGGACCATCCTCTGCTGGGACAGCCTCAGGCTTGTACCTTAGTCTGGGTGCAGCCCAGTGTTTGGACATTTCTAAATCCAGCCCTACCCTGGGAGGGGCAGACATTTCTGCAGTGTTCAGCTGGCTGGGTAGAAGGCCCAGGGGCCTAGAGTTGGAATGGTGACATCTCTCTGTCCCCTACACAGAGAGGACCTGAGGACAGTCCTGGGCCAGCACTGAAGCCACAGCAGGCACCACATAGAACAGGGAGGGTCCCAGGATCTCAGGAGAGAGATGCTGGCCCCAGGGTAGGTGTGGTGGGAAGGTGAGCCAACTTCTGAGAGGTGGCAATGGAGCTGGGCGGGTGGGAAGGGATGTCTTTGGGCCCCACCCGGACCCTGGTGTCTGTGCCCCCTGACATGACGAAGGTACCATCACTGTGTCTTCATTAAGGGAGGGGGTAAGGATGGAGTTGTCTGGGATGCTCCCTCCACACGGCCTAGCAAAGTTGGGGTTCTGGGTCCTCACCTGGCTGACCCCTCTCATTATATAAGAGCTACGTAGACATCACTTCCTCCAGGAAGTCTTCCCTGACCAATCCCAGGCTGCTGTAGTGGTTCCTCCCCTCTACTCCCATGTCTCATTGCACTGCATAATACATAACTCTATGTATCTACCCCAGGGAGCTCGATTCCTGGGTCAATACATCTCTGCAGGTGCTCAATGCATGTTTCTGGAACAAATGACAGAGACTCAGCTGTGCTGTCCCCTGCCTCCTATTTCCTCTGCATGGGATCCCTGGGCTGGCCTGGGGGGGGCCCAGTGGTAGGCAGCACCCAGCACCCAGCTGACCTTGCTCCAGCCAGAACCGGACATCCTCCTGGCGAGTGTAGATGGCGTCCACGGCCTCGGCACACACATTGCGGAGGTGGGGGCTCAGCAGGCTCCCCTGGCTGAAGTTGACAGCGATGTCCATGTGCAGCTGCTCCAGGCCCCGCACCTCCTCGGCCTGCCGCACAGCCCGGGGGTTTTTCTGTGCACAGGAGAGGGGTCACTCCCACCTGGCCTCAGAACACTCCCCGCCCAGTCTTCCCCTGACCTCTGAGTCAGGAAGCCCAGGCGGCCTCCCTATAGGACCCTGGGGCCATCAGCAACATGGCAGTCAAGGGGCATCTAGGCTCCTCTACACCTTAACTGGCAGAGAAAATGGTGCCCAGGATATAGTCAGCTTCTGCTTGGGATGGACTGTTCTCAAGCTACCTGCTAACCAGTGGGCTGACCTCTAGCTTGAGAATTCTGGGATGTTGCTGGCAGTGGAGCTGGAGGTGGGCTCAGTCCCAGGGCACTGCCTAAATGGCCTCTGGGGAACGTCCAGGTGACTGAGTCTTTCTGGAAGGGGCAGGCAAAGGGAAAGGGAGGGAAGGGTGCCTGCTAGATAATGTCAGTAAGGCCAAGGATGACTCCAACCTCGTCCCTGCCCTTAATGAGGCAGATCCTACTAGATAATTTAGGGAACTCGATGCCCACGGTCCAGGAAGCAACTGGGCACAGGGCTCCTGGTTTGGGATAGATCAGCACATTTAAGGGTTTTGAACACTATGCTGAGCACCTGACATGCATTATCTCATTTAATTCTCACCATAACTCATTTTCTCAATAACCAAACCGAGGCTGTGAAAGGCGAGGTAACTTGTCCAGTGTCACCCAGATAATGAGTGGTGGAGCTGGATCCGACTTCAGAGTCCAGGCTCTTGACCTCCATCATAAATGGAGAAGGACTGAGACCAGGTGAGGGGCGGAGGACTGAGAAATCTGGAAGCTGGGAGTTCAGTGCAGATGAACTCTGGGGCTAGGGACTCAGGTTTGGCAAGTGGCCAAATCAGGGGTTTCAGGACTATAGGGTGAGAGTGGGTACCAGAGATGAGGGCTAAGGTGAGCCAGGGGCAACGGGTCTAGGAACAGGGTGAGGATGAGGGGCTTGGTGTGAACTGAGGTTGGGGTGGGGCCACAGTTTGGGATTAGGCAGGCTGTAGGACTGGGCCAGGGTGCAGGGGTGGGGCTCAGGGGGCAGGGCTGGGCCAGGGGGCAGGGGTGCGGCTCAGGGGGCAGGGCTGGGCCAGGGCGAGCACTCACCTGCCGAAGCTTGGCCATGGCCTCGCTGGGGATGATCTCATTGTGGTGCAGCCGGGTGACAAAGCAGAGGGCCTGGAACTGGCTCTGCCCCTTCTCCAGCTCCCCCAGGATCAAGGCCCGGAAGATCTTCACATCCTTATGGGGAAGGGGAGGAGAACAGGGGACCAGCTGGAGAGGGCGGGGCCTCCCCACCAGCTCACCCAGTGGTCAGTTCACGACATGTGCCTGGACCCTCCCTGCACTAGACATCTCCCTCCTGCTGGTCCAGGCATTTTTATCTTTTTCCATTTAAACCCATGACTTAAAAGAACAACACACGCCAAATGTTCCAAAGCCTCCTGGAAAATTCACATAGGGAAGCGCTAGAAAGCTTTTCAAAACAGAACCACTTAAGAGTGCAGAGCTTCGCTTTAGGAAAACAGCGCCCCTTTTCTGCACCTGGTTCATTCACAGCCAATGCTTCCCCTCTGGGGAGCCCTGTGTCAGCCTGATTAGGCTGGGTCAGGACTCCTAATGAACAGGTCCCACAGCCAGGTGGCCCAGCATCATGGCGGAGGGCCTGCTCTCTGTACAAGTACAGACACCAGAGTTTCTCTCCACAAGATTCTTATTCAGTGGGTTTGGGGAGAGGCCTGGAAATTGGTGTTCCTCAAGTTGTCCCTGGTGATTCCGATCAGCCAGGCTCCCCGCCAACCCTGCTCCCTGCCAATCAGATCACAGAGGCAGGGCAAGGTGGGGTTAAGGGCAGAAGCTGCCAGGCTGGCTGCAGCTGCCTCCTGGCCTGAGGGAGCTGAGGTGGCTCACTTTTCCCCTTCCCCTCCACTTCCAGTTTCCCTACAAGGTTACTAGCTGTATTACCAGAAGGCCAAGGACTCCTTCCTGTTACTGACTCATCAACTGAATTAGGAGGCAGGAAGGTTGGAGGCGGACAGCGGGAGAAGGGAGAGGGGGCATAGGGTGGGATGGGACTCCTTCCTCAATCTGGCTGTGGAACCCTGTGCGCCAGCCCACCTACATTGCCCACTACACCCCCACCACACCAGAGGGCCCCCACTGTTCTCACCCACCTCTGAGTCCTGGCTTACTTTCCCGGTCAGACGTAGTCTAAATCTGTCTAGACCCCTGCTTACCCTAGAGAACCAGGCCTCAAAGACTGCTCCCCCTGGGAACCCCTATGCCCCTTCACTGGCACTTAGAATATCCACCCCCTGTGTAGGGATTGGATAGGTCCCTGGGTGGTGCAAACGGTTCAACTGCTAGCCTGAAGGTTGGTGCTTTGAACCTACTCAGCAGCACCACGGGAAGAAAGGCCTGGCAATCTGCTTCCATGAAGATTACAGCCAAGAAAACTCTAAGAAGCAGTTCTACTCTATAACACATGGGTCACCATGAGTCTGAATTGACCTGACAGCAACAGGATTTTCTGGTGTAAGCCTTCATCTTTCAATATATGTGTCCCAGCCTCCCCAACCAGCAGAGGCCCCATTCACTGAGTGCTTACTGTCTGCCTGCCAGAGTGAAAGGACTCTGAGTGCAGGGTCTGAGTCCTCTTCCCTGTAACTGCAGGGAGGGGCCCAAGGTTCCTCCTCAACTCCCCAGTGCATTAGCTGGTGCCCCAGGCACATTGCCCAATCTCTTTGTGCCTCATTTATAAAATGGGGATGACAACAGCCTTTCCCCAGTGGGGATGTATGAGGACTGAAAAGTTCGTGTAGAGGGCACAGAAGGCCTGCTCAGCAAGCGCTAGCTGGGATTATTATTACTGTAGGCAATCGGCAAGTGTTGCAGATAATCTGAAAAAAATGAGTGCCTGTCATCCAATCAATCCCCACATATTTCTATAGTCTTTTAACTCCATAAAGAAGTTTGTATTCTTACTTCCTTTTAATGTAGCTCTGGAACATTGAGGTGGGGTTATGTATGGGGAGATTCTCCACCAATACTGCAGAAGGGGAGACTGAGGCCCAGCTGGTGAGAAAGGTTCCATGAACTTTGTGTCATCCCAGAGACTTGTGAGGAAAGTGAATGAGAGCTCAGGTTAAGCCCAGCTTCCTCTCAACAGGAAATCCGTTCTTGGGTAATGATGCTGGAATCTCCTTGCCCGGCCAAATGGGGCCATCTGATCTTTCATTCCCTCAGGTCGGCTGAGGGAAGGCTGGAAGCTGGTACACTTGTGGCATATTCCACTCTGGACTCAATTCCTGCCAGGTGAGACTTGATACTAGACTTCCCCTCCTAGGGCTTAAGGCAGGCAGGATTCAACACCCACCTCCTGGGCGTTTTCAGCTCTGACCCTTGACCAAGAACCCTAGCTGGGCGGCATCTTCTTCTGTAAAGCAGGCTACATGCACTACCCTGCCATTTGAGGGTTGCTGACCGCTCACACTGCTTGCTATGAAGATATTTGAACTTTTAGACCAGAGAGAAGGTAAAAGAAATTGAGATTTTTTTTCCTGCTTCTGTGCTAAATAATATTGATGACAATAACAAAATGCTACCAAAATAGGAGCATTTTGACTGGGGGTGAAGAGAGGGAATGAGGATTTCTTGTTGAGAGAGAAGATCCCTCCATACCTTCTGTTTTTTTATGTAGGACAAAGATTTACAGAAGTTAGTAACTGGAAAAGACTAATCATTGTTACTATGAGTCACAAAGGATGTTATCCTATCTGAAATCTTTACAACTCCAGGAGGTAGGAGCTATTATTATTACTGAGTTTGGATTTGGGGAACTTGTTCAAGGTCAAGGGACTAAGAGGCAACATAGCCAGGATTTTAACCCAGGCAGCCTGACTCCAAAGCCCCAGTTCTCTTAACCACAGTGTCACATGCCAACATCCTTGAGGCCCAGCTAATGACACTGAAGCTCAGGCCCAGAGAGGGAGTGTGGTTTGCCCTTGGCCACACAGCTAGTGAGTGGCAGACCCAGGACGAGAACTGAGTTCTCTCTCTCTGCCATGCCTGTCTTGCAGCGGCTGGAGGTCCTCCCTCCATAGACCTGTCTGGGGCAGTGCAGCAGCTCTGCTCAGGCCCTGTGAGACTGACAAATAACAGCATCGATACAAGCAGGTGTTTGACCGAGGCTTGGTGAAGAGGTGAGGATACGGTGAGCTGTCTCCCAGAGGCAGGAACACCCTTCTAAAAGGCCTGTCTACCCTTCCAGGGCCTCTTAAACCTTGAATTCTCAAGTCTTCGTAGTTCTGTTTCTCCAGAAAACCACATTCCACTTGTTGACCCCTGGGAGGGAGAGGGCAGCCCAAGACCCTGGATCTAAATATTTGGTAATGGAGCTCCATTATCCTGACCAGTATCCTTCGACCTTCCGCTCCCTACATCTCAGACTCACTATTCAGGTCCCAGGTGCCCCCTCCCTCCAGCACAGAGGGAAGGGCAAGGTAGAGAGGTTCCCCTGCTTCAGTGAACATCAGGCCAGATGCTCAGCCCAGTCCAGATAGAAGCCTGGCTCCCAGTCTTCCTCCTCGCTGGAAGACCCCTAGGCTGATTCATCGGATGTGGCCTAAAGCCCAAGGCAGATGGCTAGCTGGGGAAGAGCCCAGAGGTTCTGGTCTGGGAACATGGCAGGGGGCTGCAGGCAGGTTCCTCAGGCTTAGGACTCAGTCTAGAACTCCCAAGCCGGGAGGTTTTTTTTAAATCAGGTTCTTTCTCCCATGAGCTTCCAGGAACCTCTAGCCCACCAGAAGCCACCAGGAAGAACTGGAGAGCACCAGACCCAGGGTCAAAATCTGGGCCACGCAGAAGGTGTGACAAATGTGCCTCGGAGATAGTGTTTGCTGAAGTCTTCTGTCTATACTTTTAAGAAAGGGGTAGGAGTAGGTAAGTTCTAGGATACTGATTGTGGTTGAGTCAGTTCCCACTCATGGAGACCCTATATGTGTCAGAGTAGAAATATGATCCATAGGGTTTTCACGGCTGATTTTTCAGAAGGATATTATCAGGCCTTTCTTCCGAGGGGTCTCTGGGTGGACTTGAACCTTCAACATTTTGGTTAGCAGCCAAGTACATTAACTGTTTGCACCACCCAGGGGATTCCTGGGCTAAGGAGTCTTAGCTTAATCTTGTGATCACTGGAAGTCGCTGAGTCTGGGTGTGAAATGAACACACCAGATCTGTGGTTTAGAGTTGAGATCAGATTCAAATTGAGGCTGCAGCCAGGACAGTGTGCTTTTGATCTAAATGCCTAGGTAGAGGGCCCCTGTCCTCACATTGCATCTTCTGCCCAGGCAACAAGTCATCCAGGCCCTCCATGATCTGCCCCTGCTCAGGACTACTTGTCCCCAGGCTCAAAGGCAGAGACTCTACCTTATTTATGTAGCATCCCCAAAGTCTGGCACATAGCTGAGCTTGATAATTATGAGTTGAGAGAATGAATGACTATCTGGGGCCTCCATCAACTCAGTCACTTCGAACAAGAAGAAAACTCTTTCTTCTTGGGTTTCCCTTTAGCTGGCTCCTACAGGCTGGTAGTCCTACAGCTGCTGTTTTGGCCCCTAGAAGGTTTAAGGGGTCATCCAGCAGAAAAATGAACTTCACAAGTCACACTGCTGAGGCGGGCCAATATGGCAGAGTAGTCAGATGCTTCCGGTGGACCGTCTTACAACAAAGACCCGAAAAAACGAGTGATTCGACTATATATGGCAATTTGGGAGCCCTGAACATCAAAGGCAGAGTTGAGGAACTGGACTGAGTGGCTCAGGGAGGGAGAGACGGTTCAGAAGCAGCAAGAAGTTGCCAGACATGACTTGGCGAGAGCCTGAGCCCTTCAGGCCTGAGCAGCTCCAGGGTGAGTGGGGAGGCAGGCAAGCAGCCATGCTTGGGAAGTGCATTTTCTGCACCAGGAGAGAGACCCAGCACCAGAGACTACATGGCCACCCAGAACCAGTGACAAGCAGCCCCCGAGAAAAGATAAGTACTTGATTATGGCTTATCGTGCAGATCAAAAACACCCCCCTTAGGGAAAAACCTGTCTCCCATTTACCTCCCCGCTCCCTGCTCTGCACTGGGTCCCAGACCAACTTCAGCAATTGCCAAGTCCCCTGGGCCGGAAGTAGGATCAGTCACATGCCTGCAGCTATTCTCCCTGACTTGGAGAGTGAACAAATTAACAAACAGGAAAA